TAGTCCGTCGAAACGCAAACGGTTCCGCCGCCGAGAGCTAACTTCGGTTCGACCGCTCTTCAGTGCATCATATTCGACTTCTACCAAGAAGATTACGCAAGGAAAATGCGCGAAAAGGAAGAAGAAAAACCGAAAAGGGTATTTATTCCATGATTTTAATAGTCACCCCATGCATATTTTCTAGTCCTCATAATTTTTTTATTTGATTAACTTATAAAATGTTGTTCTTTGCCGTGGTTATAGCTTCGTAAGAAAAAAGAGAAGCATGCCAAATCCGCTCAGCAAATCCACGACGAACATTTGGCACAGCGCATTCGCGAGGCGTGGGCCATACTCGAGCGCCTCGTCAACCAGAACATATACGACGATATTGGTGAGACAATAATTCCATAATTACACTCTTTAACGTGCCGTTCAAGATCTTTTTCCAACTCTTTGAGAGTTGGAGTCACCAGCCAAGTTAGTAAACCCCTTCATATACTTTATCCTAAAGTCTCTGGAAGTCTTATTAGTTCAGCTAACATGACTTAACGGCTTAATTTTTTGCTTCTCTTTTGTTTATGTGTCTTGTTATACTTTTACACATGTTATGTTTTTCTTTACATAGTTGTCTTCTAATGCAATGATATAGTACCAAATATGTCTTATTTGTTTGGGTTCAGCTCAAGACTACCGTTACTGGGACGATCCGTCGGATGAGTTCCGCGAGGGCATGGGCTCGTTGCTGCCGCTGTGGCGGTTTCAGTTCGAGCCGATGCGCAGCCACGCAGTCTGCGACATGCAATGGAATCCTCATTATCAGGACTTGTTCGCTGTTGCTTACGGCTCCTGTGAGATTTTCTAGTATACTTTCATTAACCTTGTCAGCAACTTAACGTTGCAGGCTTCCGCCGTTTGACTGTCTCGCTCAGAATCAGACTTTTAGTGCGAAGTTTAACTTTTGTTTTAAGAAACTTGACGATATTTTATTTAGGTACATAGTACAATATTTATGGTAATTATTTCCAGTGGACTTTACCAAACAGCAGAAGGAGGGGTGCGTATGTTTATACAGTATCAAGAACCCCGCGTACCCCGAGTACGCAGTCATCACCGAGTCGCCGATCATCTGCATTGACGTGTATACGGAGACGCCTTATCTCATCTGTGTTGGTATGTACATAACAAATATAACTAGATACTTTGAATTTAAGATAAAAAAAAATAATATTATATATATCCTATAGTCATTTTAACATCAAATTCTACAGTTATAAATTAAATTCGTGAATTTATAAAATATGTTACAAGCAAATGTTAATTAAAGTTTAAGTCAAATTACTATTTAAAAAAAATGAAATGGCGTTTTTTTAAGTACGGCGAAACTATTATAATTGTCGTAATAATATCAGGTATTCTACTCTAACCTAACCTAAAATGTATCGTAGGTATTCTAGAAAAATGTCAATATAGCGTAATATTAGTGGAAAAATTAAGAAATTGTACAGTTCTGTGATGTTTTATACAGGGTGTTATGATGGCAACGTATGTGTGTACAACGCCCAGCTGTCCCTCGAGTCGTCCTACCAATATAAGTCCGACTCTGTCCGGGACAAGCACAGTAACATTGTATGGGAGGTAAGTCGGTTTCGATTTACTTGTCGGTGTCTTCAATTCATCTTAGTATTTCTTTTTGAGTGAAGATTCTGTGCCATTATATGCTTCTTATATTTTAGTGAAAAAAGTATAAAAACCACATTTAATTGTGGCAAGGATGCGGTGTGATAGGTGACCGAGCAAACCACATCCCCGACTTTTGTATTATTCTGATTTATTTAAGTACTTTGCTTTCAATCGTTGGAAGTATTCTGATTGCGGTTTCCACAATTCATTCTTGCAATTCGATTTGTTTGAACAAATATATACAGATTCTTTGTTACTGCTTTTAATTTTATTTCAAACTTTTTAAATATTTCTTTTTACTAACGTTGAAAACATTAAATATATTCCAATGCTATGAACAAAAGACAGTGTGCAATAAGCAAGTTGCGACATAATTTAATTTATAACTGACTATTGGCGATGTAAGAAATTATTGTTATTTTTGTAAATTAATTGATGTAATACGTCTAGGTCTAGTTCTTGACCTTGGTTTTGAGACCGTAATTCACGACAGGTTCGTTGGGGTGCGCGGTTAATTGACGGCGAGGCGTCTTTCTTCTCTGTGTCGGGTGACGGGCGCGTAGTGCAGTGGGCGGTGATGCCGGGCGAGCTGCGTGCCACCACCATCATAGAGCTACGCGCTCCCGCCGCCCCCGTGCCCGGACCCGACGGCACCCTCATCGCTGTTAATAGTAAGACCCCTTTACCACTAGGCGACTAGCCCCGAGCGGCAATCACGGCAGTGCCAGCGAAAACTTAAAGGACCCACGAGTCCGGTTATTCGCCTTTTCGCATAAGTTCACTTTTGCAAGATTTGACCGCGCGGCGTCCGTCCATTATTGACCGAGAACTTGCCGCGTGGGTCTAATGAACTCAAAAAAACGTTCAACCTGCACACTTGAAGTCGCAGGACTATTTTTGTTTGTTACTAATGTGTTCCTTGCGTGCGACCAGGTTGTGGCAGCTGTATCTGCTTCCATCCGGAGAAGGCAGACATCTTTCTGGTGGGCACGGAGGACGGCGCGATTCACACGTGCTCGCTCAAGTACAACCGCAGCTATGTGCGCTCCTGCCAGGCTCACCACATGCCTGTATATCGCATCAACTATAATTACTTCAACAACTCGATATACGCCTCCTGCTCGGGAGATTGGAGGGTCAAGATATGGGAAGATGGTCGCGAGTAAGATGATTAACATTTTTTCACGTTTACTTAACGTAAGTCAAAACCGCTCTTAGCATTAATCAGGAGTATCCAAAATACACTCATTAAAACAGTGAGTTTAAATTTTTTTTGAGTTTCTTAGATGAAGTCACCTCCGATGCTATATTTCAATCGTAGTAATAGATTTTGTATTAATGTATATTTCATGTTGATATTCTAGGTATATAAAATCTTTATTACGTTTATTAAATGTGCATTTTTCGTGTGCATGTTCCCAGGACGATAAAGGATAATGAATGTAACATAAAATATTTTAAAAGCACACATTAACTGACGCACTCTCCAGAGATTCTACGCTTATACGATATACGATAATACTGTCGAATTGAATATAAAAACACGACTTACGTTTGAAAAACGAAAAATATAAAAATTAATTTAATCCATAATTAATGATTTTTTACTATATAGTTTTATTATGCTTAATAAAAATGTGTTTATAATTACAGAGAGCCACTATTCATGTTTGAGCTGGGCTCACCGGTGGGCGACGTCAAATGGGCGCCTTACTCCAGCACTGTGTTTGCCGCCTGCACCGCTGACGGGAAGGTATTTATTCCGTCTACCATAGATATATAACCTATAGATACCTTATTCGGTGCACAAAATTTCGCTTATAATAAGTCACTAACCTTTAAAGATATATACGTGTCCATAGAGGTCAGAGTAATTCAGTTGTCCGACCATGACCTTTCATTATGCATGTCCGTTCCGTTGCAATGTACTTAGCCGGTTCTTGTTTACAATAACAAGTATATTTGTGCAGGTGTATGTATTCGATCTGAACGTGAACAAATACCGACCGATTTGCGTGCAAGCTGTTGTATCCAAGAAGACGAAGAAATTGACGAGGCTTGATTTTAATCCAAAACTGCCCGTCATTGTGTGTGGCGATACGAAGTAAGTTTTCTTAATAGAAACAAAGTTTGTTTAATCGTACTAATAAATTATAAACATTTACAAGAAGTGTTGAAATATTGATAAAATATTGATATACTATTTTGACTAACTTTCATAAGCCTCCATAGCTCAGGGGTTAGAGCACTGGTCTTGTAAACCAGGGGTCGAGAGTTCAAATCTCTCTGGGGGCAATGTTGGAAATATCTTTTTCTTGTTATTTTACATAAATCATTTTACTTATTTTTAGGGGCACATGCCATGTATTAAAATTATCGCCCAATTTGCGAGTTATGGTAAAACCACCAAAGAAAGCTCTATCCACTGACCAAAGGACTTTGCAGGTAATGTAGAAGCTTTGTGTCGTATTTTTAACGGTTTTTAAATTTTAAGACTTTTTTATAAAATGCTTTTGAAATATGAATATTGTCTTATTTTTGTATAGCGATTATGACTGTGCCATTTTTTTCTTTCAAATTATTCCAAAGATGGCGCTAACATTTATTCAAAATAGATTGCAATGCATTACGTCAAAATAATAGAAATAATGATAAAATTCATTTTTGTTTCAATTTCATATTTGTTTATCAGAGCTAACAGTTTGTAACCGTAGGTTTTCACGGCCGAAATCTTATGTTTTGTACAAGACTTTCAAGAGTCGGGACCAATCGTAATATTTTTCGTTACAGATAATGAAACTAGACAAACTATTAACTTTAGTTCGAGACCCGCCGTTCACACCTGGAGTTGTCGACGAAAAGTTTGAGGATGATTAAATTTAGTTAATATTTACATTTAATATTAACATAAAATAAAACATTTGATTTTTATAGCGTTGTTTTTATTTATTAATCTAATAAAGCATTAAAAATTATATTGCACAAGATTTTTTAATCACACATATAGGTAAAGGAGAAATGCATACAAAATATTTGGTTATAAAATTATGCATATATAAAGGAATTCACGATTTTTGTGTTGAAGTTGACAAGAAGTTGAATAACTTGATGTATTCATTAACTCATTTTTTAACTTAATATATAAATATTAAAATGATTTCACTTATTGTTTTCATCTAGAGAACCCACTCAAGCACTAATTTATTCGACATTACATACATAATTGCTTAATGCTTGATAAAATATTATTAAATAATAAATAATACAAAAAAAGATATCAATACTATAAAAAATAATCTATGATTTTTATATGTAAAAAATACATTATATAACAGCATTATATTTTTTTAAATATCTGTCTATATATTGAATAAACTCTTGAAAACAAAACATGTCATTTTCAATGACCATATTGCTTATTAACTATCCATATGTTTCCACTAACGAAAACATGTAGAAAAACATGTTTTGTGTCAGTGGAAACACATAGTATTACATCTTATCAGCTAAATACTTCACTAGTAGACTAGTTTACGAGATCATAGAATTACTATTCTAAAATAGGAATAAAATAAAAGCAACATTTATCAGAAATAGGACAAATTACTAAGTTAAATATAATATTTGTGCTCAATTTTAAATTATAGTAACCGTTGGTTTGTGAGACTTAAATCTCTGTTTAAAACATATTGTTATCTCTTTTTTGACAAAGATGAAAGACAGGGATAAAGATATTTTGGTCTCAGAAACCCATGGTTAGTCACTCAGAAATATTTATACTGTCACTAGCTGCATAGCTTTTTTAAGCATGAAGCAAAAGTCATAGTAAAAAGCATAAAATAAAACTAAGCAAACAAATTACAATATAAAAATCGCTTTTAACTATGTTTAAATTAAAAGAATAATTAATAAATCTTATTTCAAAGACACAAAAGACTAGAGCAAAGCTTAATATCTATAAATTTTCATATAAATTTACTTTTTATATGCCTGAAGCTGGAACATATGAATTAGAAACATCTATCAAATTAATGTATACAATAAATATAAATATATAAGCATCTATAACATTGCTATGTATAGAACAGGTACGTAAAGTTTTATATAACAAAGTTCTTATCCATAATATGAAATTACATAGTTTATGGATACAGAAACTTTGGACCAAGTTTGTTACATTTCTCAACTGCGGAGTTGCCAAGTTTCAAATCCAAAAATGCACGAGCGTCGTTAGGCGCAGGTGCTTGGTGACCTCCAAATTGTATCTGTGAATCATGGAGAACATTCAGTATTAGTTGTGGAATTATGAACCATTGCTCATAGGTGCTGGGTTCCATTCCCGCTAGCAACTTTCTTACGGTGAAGGAAAACATTGTTAAGATGATAAGATGTGCGTAAAGGTAACCAACTCTTACTCGCACTCTTAATTTATAGACAGCTATGTGGCTCAGGGCTTAAAGACTTGACTTGTAACCTGCAGGTGCTTGGTTCCAATCCCACCAGGTACCAATGTGGTTTTCAATTTTCAATTTATATATACATTAATCCTATGTTATTTATTTATTTAAACAAAGTGATACAACATGCTCATATCTGAGAAGAAATTCAAGGATACATGTGTGAAGTCAACCCCCACAGGTCTAGCATGGTTAGCTAATTTAGGGTAGGCTTCGAGCCCCTCAGTGGGGATGTACAATGGGCTGATGATGATGATATGTGACAAACCTGTGCTAGTGGATGTAGATGTCTTTCAGGGAATTCTTTCTGATGAGCCATGACCCAATCAGCAGGCCACATTGTACCATTCTTAGCCGTAAAAGGCAGCACCAATGCATAAATACTATTAGTTGCTGAGTATGCCACTCTATAGTAATGACCTTTGGTTGCTCTCTCCCAAATAAAACCTTCTGAATCCGCACCTCCTCTTTGTAACAAGGATACGCGAGAAACGTCAGAAGCGTGGATGCCTATTTCAGCATATTCTGCCCACGGAAGAATATCGGCCCTGTAAATATTTTTACAAATTAAATTATTTAAAAAAATGCTATCACTTTAATATTATAAAAATTGTACTGTAATTGTATTTTACCTCACAACAGCTCCTAATAAAGATGTAGTCTCAAGCCAACAACGTACACCTGCCTGTAGCAAAGTACGTAGCACATGCGTAGCGGTCCTACGAATGTTTCTGCGACAGCAAGGCGGCGTGTTTCGTCCAGACAGTATGTATGATGGAGTCCCTTGTACTGATGGGAAGCATCGCTGTAAATATAACAGATTTATATTAATTGCTGAGGAATTGGACTTCTCTTGAATAATCTAATAGGAATTTTTTTTTCATTTCTAACAGAATGTTTATTAATGCTCATTTGTCACTGTTATCTTGGCTCGAGTCAGGTCTACCAGTTAGGGAGCCAAGGCAATACCAATATGTTTTTGTAGTGTACATTAAAGATTTTCTTCAAAATATATAATCCTTAGCATCTAATGCAATATTAGGGAATGAGCTTGGGCACCCCTTAATTTAAAAATTTGAATGCTTCTTTAACAATAAGTCACCAAGTATTTTTAAATATAATTCTGCTCTATACCTCTACCAAGAAAATCAAATAGGTTTTTCTAATAATTCAACTCTTCTTGTTCAAAAAATGATATACCTGTGTATCCCTTTTACAACCAAACCAATGCACTCTACTATCCTCTCTAATCACCATCTTAACACCAAGTTGTTTATAAAGACTGATTCTTGCTTCCCTCGCAATTTTTGTAGCTTTTTGTTTAGCTGCTGGTGATTTTAGGACGCTTCTACCAGCACCAAATTTACCATCAACAATTTGAATCTGAAAATTATTTTAATAAAGTCTTTTTTTATCTGAATTTGGTATTTACAATTCATACACAATTAAGTGGAGAAATAAGGTGTTTATGATAATTACCTTTATGTTTCGTACAGTTGTTTGTAAATACAAAGATTCTGGGAAAGGTAATGCAAATGGCTGTGGGAGTGTTTTCAAAAGAGATGTTTTTAACAACAGAACATGCTGGCCATTTATCGCGTCACATAGTTTCCCCGAATCCTTAATATATTGTAATGTCCAATCAACATAATTCCATTTTACCTTCTGGCAAATTAGTCGAGAATTAGTCACACCTACAGCTATACCCTGAGAAGGAAAGGTTGTGGCAGCTATCGCCATCTGTTGCAGTACACGACGAGATACTCTTGTCGAATCAGGAACAATTAGCACATATTCAGTATTCAAATAAGTCAAAGGATTAAGTTCATGAGGTGATGCCTTCAAACGAAATTCTAAAGGTACAATCTTGACGTTACGCAAAGTTTCATTCGTAGCTGAGAACTGAAAGGGAGGATACTGTATACCTTGACACAATATGACCACAGGCATGTTAGGAAATGCAGAAACGAAAGATTGCACACTATCCGCGATATCATTTTCAAACTCTTCGAATTGGCGAAACACCACAGTTAATAGTTTAGACAAGTGTCGAGTCGTTCGGGATTGTAAACCATTGGGAGGAACAGTAACTGGTGCAATTGGATATAATTTAAAATGGGGAAATATATACGCAAAAATTGTAAGTAATGCGATTAAAGTTAATAGGAAATAAATTTTGAAGGTAAAGCGGCCACGCATGAATCGAAAGAACATTGTTGCTGTAAAAATAATTATACATTTTGTTCATAATAATTATTAATTGGTTTAAAATACATTGGATGATCAAACTGGATAAAAGTAAAACAATGAACAATTGCAAATTGACAGAATTTGACGCAGAATTTGACAGTTTGCTTTTAGCCATTGTTCATAAACAGAGATTTATCGAAAGTAAAACTTCTTTGTTTTGTAATGATTTCAAGTCGCACCATAACAATGCGATACCTTTGAAAAATATTCAGATTAAAATGTATCAAAATTACATGGTTACCATTACAGATAAATGTCGCAAAGGTTTTTTCTTTTATAAAATTACAATTTGATGATCGACAAATTATTCCGTTTCTCTTTGGTACCGTACAAAAAAGACCTTGTCGTTCTCACTCTTTGGTTCGCGATTTTGACGTGACGCGACATATTTACGATAAATCCAAAATCTTTTTTGTGTTTTTAATTAACATATTTTTACCATGGAAGACGGTAAAGATTTGGAACCTCTAGAGCCTTCTTTGCGCAATATAATAGATCAAAAATCATTGCGATGGATATTTGTCGGCGGAAAAGGAGGCGTAGGAAAAACGACGTGCAGGCAAGTGAAAAGTTTATGTCAATAACCAAAGTAGCAGTAAAAAGTTGTTTTAACTAAATCAAATGTTTGTTTTTGCAGTTGTAGTTTAGCCGTTCAGTTGTCCAAGGTTCGAGAGTCTGTGCTAATTATTTCCACTGACCCGGCTCACAACATTTCAGATGCATTTGATCAAAAATTTTCAAAGGTACCTTATTTACGACTGTATCAGTGCTTATTTTTTGTTCATTGAATTCAAATACGACCTGCAAATGTTTGTTTGTGTTTGATATTAGCTTTTACTAAAGTGAATCAATTTTTTTAGTTATTCGCAGTGTTTCATAATGAATATACTATGTAATTATGTTAGGACAAAATTAAATTATCTTATAACTTCTGAAAATGATTGTAACAGGTACCAACTAAAGTGAAAGGATTTGACAATTTATTTGCAATGGAAATTGACCCCAATGTGGGATTAACTGAATTACCAGAAGAGTACTTTGAAGGTGAAACTGAGGCAATGAAGCTAGGTAAAGGTGTAATGCAAGAGATAGTAGGAGCATTCCCTGGTATAGATGAAGCTATGAGTTATGCTGAGGTAACATACATAATGTAGACATGTCAAAGAGTACTTTAATGATGACAGATTTATTTATATTTTAAAATAGACTCTGATTGAGTCATGAAATCAAATGTGTTTATACACAATTAACAAAAGTTAGCAAAATCGCGGTACCAAAAAACTACCATAAGATCCTTGTTAGTCTTTACTTGTGCTGCCTTTATGGAGATATGTGATGTTAAAACACTTGTTATTTTTATTGCAAATCACCATAAGGTTGAGGGCAGGTTGGTTAAGAGAATATTTGTTTAGGTTATGAAGCTAGTGAAGGGAATGAACTTCAGCGCGGTTGTATTTGATACTGCACCTACAGGACACACCCTGCGTCTCCTCTCCTTCCCACAGGTTGTAGAAAAAGGTCTCGGCAAATTGATGCGACTGAAGTCTAAGGTAAGGTGACAATAAGTAGTAATGAAACTCCTGAACTGAGAAAAATTATTCATGTTATTTCAATGTATGTTTTACTTTCATAGGTGGCTCCTTTTATGAACCAGGCTGCAACATTATTTGGTCTTGCAGAATTAAATGCAGACATGTTCAGCAACAAAATGGATGAAATGTTGTCTATAATACGACAAGTAAATGCTCAGTTCAAGGATCCCAACCAGACAACTTTTGTATGTGTTTGTATTGCAGAATTTTTGTCACTGTATGAAACTGAACGTTTGGTGCAAGAACTTACCCGTTGTGGTATAGACACACATAATATTATCGTAAATCAGTTACTACTTAGAACGTCGGCTCCTTGTGAACTATGCGCAGCTAGGCATAAAGTACAGGAGAAATATTTAGAGCAAATTACTGATTTATATGAAGATTTTCATGTAACAAAACTACCGTTACTTGATAAGGAAGTTAGAGGTGCAGCAGCTGTTAATTCTTTCTCAGAATATTTGCTTAAACCATATGTGCCCCCAAAGGCACTTTAAAAATTGTCACAAAGCTTTAGCTACCATAAACTGCAATTCAATATTTGTGGTATACATCGTCAATATATTTACATAATCATTGATGCTAGTGTACATAATACAGAAAAAAGTATTTTATATATTCAAGTGGCTTATCATATAACAAATATTTCCTGAATGAAAGGTCAAATGTCATATCCTTCAGAGGTCCTAGCACTATATTCGTGAGAGCGTTCTCGTAACATAAGTGACAAAAGTTGTATCAAATTTGTGCATCGCCCTTTTTTATATTGAATAAAGTAGTGCTTGACCACAAACCCACTTCATAGTAAATAGCTATGTGATAGGATGGTATGCACTAGCTTAACGGGCGAAAAAGTATAGCAACAAATCTCATACAAATTTTGACGTTTTTTCGATGACGTAACGATGTTTTCGTTATCGTAAATGTGCTAGGCCCTCTGATTGTTATGCGAAAAGTATGTATTTTTTGTATATTTACTCATCACATATTTAATATCATAAAATTTACATGTTCATAGATTTTCTAGTTTAATATTTAGGTGCCTGGGTTCAATAAATCTGTGGGCTATAAATCTTATACAGTGTAGCATTCTGATAAAAAAAAAGATATTCCTTGCTCTATAGCAGATTATTTTGTAGTGTCATTTACACAGCTCTAAGACATCAGCATTAATAGTATTATATAAAAAAATTTAAATAAATTTAATATATTCCATATTTACTGTAATTAAATTAATTATGTTTCATTGTTTTGTTTTATTTGAATTTTCCAAAATTAAGATTATGCTTTAAGCCTACTATCAAGTATCTATTTTAATTGATCCCTCGATCCCTGAAATCATTTACTATTACTTACTAATATTGCGAAAGTTTAGAATGATCGACGGATGTTTGAAGTTATCTCCAACGGCTCAACGGTTGTCAAAGAAAAAAGATTGGCGCAGATCTATGATGTAGGCTGTAAAGTACACATAGGTTACTATTTCTTTTTTAATTCTACAGCGATTATTTTATAATTTTGAATTGCCTTTTGCCCTATTTGACAGTAATGTTATTTTACAAGGTTTTAAAACAAAACATCAAGAAATTTATTAAATATCCCAATTTATTAATTAATACTGGTTGGTCAACAACAAAATATGGCAGTATTCGTCAATCTTGTAATTTTAACAATTATCGAATTTATTTGTATTTATAAAAAGTAAAAAACAGGCAAAAATATAAACATCTTCAAGCCTAACAATTTTTTGGCAGTACCAATAAAAATAATACATAACTTTTAAATCTTAGAATTAATATGAACTACTTGATCTATTGGTATATTGGACAATTTTATTATGATAGTTTTATACCTAGAATATATTTTCAAAAAGACCAGAATTATTTTTTACACATTTTTCAAGTCAAGCCCCAATTTTCATTTTTCAAGTCCAGTAATCGAATCCAGCGCTGAATTACTACAGTTCATATGTAAACCCACTGGACTAATGGACTGGAATAATGTATAACTGGGCATTATTTAAACTACCCAGTGCTCTTATTAAATTATAACATTAGATAGACTGAGGTAGGCATTCATTTTGTGTATAGTTTTTTGTTCTCAAATCTATACAACTAATGTTGATGAACACAATTCTTAGGTTATTAAATACTATATTTATCTATCTTTTAATTCTAACTCTAAAATCAAATTTAAGTGGTTTCTCGCTTAAACATAACCAAAAAAAATGCAACGGGTCTCCCAATAAAAAATAATACTTGAAAATATAACAAAAAAATGCATTAACTTTCCTACCATCTAGAACCTATATAAAGTAACATTTTTAACAGTCCCAATTTTTTTTTTCAATAATTAAGAAGTATCCTGTCTGATGCGTTTATGTCAACTGTTACGTTGATGTGGTGGTAAATGCCAAGCGGTGAGCGTTGCGCCGAGCACCGTACCTAAGAAAGCAGCTGCGCACGCGCCGCTTTCGAACAACAATTTCGGTGTGAACACCCCCCATATTATAAGGTGACGGCAGTGAATAGTCGCTGATAACGCGCACACGAAAACCTTGTAAAAAAATAATTGTTCCTTAATATAAATTTACTTTAGCATTGTACAAATGAGGTTTCCACCTTTGAATCATAGTTTTTTTTTCAATTAATTCAACGTAAAACATATTTAGATGCAGTGTACTTACCCTTATTGCAAAACAAAGTGCAAATTTGAGACACAAAGAAAATACAGCCGCCATTTGTGTGCGAGATCCTAAAGTAGAGACGCCATTACGACCCCATAACAGGAGTAGCGGCACCGTCGCACCAAACATGAACGGCATACCTAGAAACACATATGATACCGTATTTTTTTCTAACTTCGCAGTAGAACGGCCACTAAGCAGTTAAAGGTCAGCCGAAGAATAATATAAGAATTGAAAAGGACCATATTTGATTGCTTTGTTTACTTATTTGAGACGTTAGATTGAAGTCGAGTAAAGCCTTACCAAAGAGATGAAGCGATGTAAGTACGACAGTAATGAGCGGACCGATTGATATGTAATTGGGATCCCCTGCGTGGAACACCGGCGCCCATCTTATATGACCCAGGGTAGCGTGGTGCCCCGTACCATAGAAGTTATAGCAGGCCAGTAAAGCCCATAGACATGCCACGCAAGAGTTGCAACGAGAACTTAATGCTGAAAACATTAAATAAATATAATCATGTTTATTCTTAAACAAACGTAGCGTTATTTAAAATCACTCCAATAAAAAGGCTACTCACAGAATTTGGATGCACTATCGGTCTTCATCCATGAAACAATATTCAAAGTCAGGAACCCAGATAGAAGAGCTAAAGCTGCTGCAGGCGCGTAGCTAGCACCTAATACCAACACATTAGCTAGATATAGCACTAAGCCTAGAACCATCAACGGTATTGTAGCGCCGCGTCCATCTCTCTTCCACAATAATATGAACATCACTACTACAACCAGCCACGCCAACTTCGCCATTAGTTTAGACTGTGCGGGTGATCCGAGCGCCCCCCACCCGACGGCCCAATGCGCACAAACCAGCACACCTCCTAAAGTTATACCGTAACCCCGCCAGCCTACATGCCTCCGAGTAATCGCGACAGTGGCCGCTACCGAGCCTAGGGCCAACACTAGCGCAGCCCGCGACGCCTGCCCCGTCGGCGCGCCCTCCCCCGCCGTCCAGCAGTCCCCCTGCTCCTCCCTGCAACCTCGGTACGACCGACTCAGAGCTAAAGTCACGCCACAAAGCGCCCAACACACAACCGCTTTAACATTACCTATATTCCAAGAAAGCAGCCCCAATGCAGATAAGGCTAAATACGATAAACTAGCGCCCTCTTCTATCACATAACTGTTCGATACTAGAATAACTGCAGAAGCCACTAAAGCGGCTCTCGAGAACCTCTCATAGAAACTCGATCTGCCTTCATACCAGCGCTGAGTGATACCATCCCAGTGCATAATAACTAGCATACAAGTTAAACCACCAGAAATTAAACCGGTGCTCAAAATTATTGAATGTTCAAGATCTTCGAGGTAACTAAAATAATAGGCAGTATAACACACAGCGGTACAAACCGCCAATGATATCAGACCAGTCGGAACAAATGAACTGGCGAATATATTAGATATACTTTCGAATGGAACACCTTCAGTAATAAGCCAATTGAAGAAAATAGCTAACAGCAACAAAAGCAGTGCTCTGAGCATTGATAGTGAATCAAATTCCACCCAAACTTCTCTAAATGTACTACGGATATTCTCCATTAAGTTCCTAAAACAAATAAAGACAAGTAAGTTAAGTAATAGATTTAAAAATAATAATCATAGTAAAATTTTGCTAGAACATTCTCCAATATAGTAGATTATAGATGCATACCTAACATCTGAAACATAATTTTGTAAGTCTATGTCTGTTTCGACATTGGCAGCTTTTTCTATTTGGTCCCTGGTCGCATTTATCAGATGCGCTAATTTATCTAACGATACCTGTTGAGATTCCTCACCATACCTAATTAGGTACTTAGTAACCTAAAATAAAAATATTAATGTTAAAAAAATTGTACCAACATAAAAAAATATAAGACCAAAAAAGTTGACAACTTTTAAAAATAAAAGATTTAATAATATTTGAATTACACTCACTTGTTTCAAATTATTACTTAGGTGTAATAAAGTAATTGATTTTGACATTTTAGGTAATACTGAGAATAAGATATTTCCTAGAGACGGTGCAGGTGGCGGGCGACCTAGAGCCGCGCTTAAAGTGGGTGCTAGGTCTGTCTGTTGCACCTCTTTTCCCACAGACAGTGCACCTTCATCACCAAGACCGGAAACTCTGTATACAAACATTGCTGCCGTCCGCTCAGCTCTACTTTCACCTCCATGGTCACCTGAAAGAGATTAAAGTGAACTTAAGAGCTTTTATATCATTCAGTGATCAAATCATTCACTACTCAATTAATTTTTATCTACTACTTTCATTTCAAAACAAAAATGTGTAAGCTCTTAAAGGTATTTAGTTATTTTGCAAGAAGAATTTTGTAATATTTGTATTTGGTAATAAACAGGTAAATTTTGGGCAAACTAATCTATCATTTTAATAAAAACGTAACTATGATAATTGTCATAGTTAATATTTCGATATAATTTATGAATTTCGAACCATACATGCATTTCATAATGACAAAATATAATTCTAAGCATGCTATTATTTTTATTGCTTTAGAATCACACACATAGGAAGAAAATTTTCTTTAATATATTTAAATATCTTAAAGCATTATGCATAGAAGCTGTTCTACAAATTTGAACCATGAACTACATGTACCTACCATCCGAATCATTCCATTCTTGTGAGTCTAAAACAGTATAAGAAATTTTATATAGAAAATTTTTAAGATTATATGATTAAATTTAATTTAATTTCAAAGCAACAACTAAAATTAAGAAAATAGAGGTTATTATTTTAGTTATTTTGTAGAAATTTTGAGATACCGTGTGGTGATTACGTTTCGGTTTCGGACACCAATATCTCTGTGTAAAAATGTTGTCATCCCTGTCATTACTTTTGACAAAACAAAGATATATATCTTAAACAGGGAATTTTGGTCTCAGAAACCCACTGTAAAAGTATAGCTTATGTTACATAGCTATGTGAACAAAACTGCTTATGTTTTGAAAATTGTCAGAGATTCAGCACAAAGAGCTCTTCGGTTATTTTGATTTTGGATTACTATAAAATATACATACCTGATTCTGTCATTCCATGATCACCAATGACACAGAGTAGCACATCTGGAGGTAGCATTTCAATGATTTTTTGTAATCTATTATTAGTTTCCTTTAACTTTCTTGCCATCTCTGGATGGTTTGGACCATATCTATGTCCAGCATGATCCACTCCAAGGTAATGGGCGACCAGCAAGTCCCAATCCTTCTTTTTAAGCTCATCATATATTTTGGAATCAACTTCTGAAAATTGAATTTGACATTTTTATTATCAGAGCTCCTTCCAGATAGAATTTTTTTTGTGAAAAAAGTTTGTTAGTCACATGTTAGTCAATAAATGAAATAAAACACCATAAAATATGATAAATTATGAATTTTTATGAAATTTGTGAGTATAAGAATATAAAATTATTTACCGTTGTCTACAGTATCAAGGTCCCAAGTGTGAAATGAATACAAAGCATGTGATCGCAGCCACCTTTTAGGCATTAATCTAGACCATGTGTCATCTCCTAGGAGAACAGCCTTACCCCCACTCATTACTACCTATAAAAAAAACTTCTTAACAAGCTGTTCAAAATATATGACAAATTTCTACAAATATAACTATGATACCTGATCAATTAAGTTATCTTCTTGTAATTCCATAGCCGCAAAATTAGAACTAGCATCAACAAATGTAGGTAAAGAACCTGTGACTAAAGCTTTAACTCTTTGAAGAGTAGTTGTAGGAGGATCTGCCATGAAACGATACAACCTTGCCCGTTCTGGATGCTGTTTTAATATTCCCTGAATAATTGGTAATCGGTTCTGATAATATAAAGGCTTCTCTATTCTCTCATCATATTCAGTAAAATCATATCTTAGAGCATCAACCAGTATCAGAACTACCTTATTGCGCTTAGGGGCGCACGCCAAGAACGCGCCAATGTTAGAAGACACATGCTTAATTTTTAAATCATCGTTGCAATATTCCTTAGTTATCATACCACCATCTTCACAGCTTATCTCGCTAAGAGGACTACATTCTGTTACATCACTCAAGGTTTTTCTAGATAACAAGAAACCGTGCCCGAACATAAGAACTGCTGCGATAATCAGATAAGAAAACCATAAAAGGTAAAAAATAAAATGCCATTTTTCTTTCATTATGTATTAACCATCAATGCATAAGATATTAATCCTAAAATGGAAACTTTTTAATTA